ACCTTTGGCCACCACTTGTTATATGTACAAGACCATGCTTAAGCACATACACTGCATATACCACACACACACACACACACACACACACACACACAGAGAGAGAGAGAGAGAGAGAGAGAGAGAGAGAGAGAGAGACAGAGAGAGAGACAGAGAGACAGAGAGAGACAGAGAGACAGAGAAAGACAGAGAGAGATAGAGAATCATATATCATTTTCAAACTGGTTTCATTCATTCCAGGGATGCAAGGAAGTTTCAATACATATACATCAATTAATATAACATATAAACAGACTCTAGGACAGAAATAACACATTCACATCAATAGATGAAGAAAAAGTTTCTGACAAAATTAACATTCCTTCATGATAAAAATCCCTAAGAAACTAGGAATAGATGGAACATATAGCAGCACAATAAAGGCCATGCATAAATCTAAAGTATATTATACTAAATGGGGGGATTGGAAGACATTTTTCTTAGAGTCAGGAATGAGACACTCTTTTCATCTTATTTGATATAGTGTCTAAAGTTCTTACCAGCACAATAAGAGAAATATAGGAGATACAGATAGGACAAAAGTTCAGAGGATTCCTTATTTGTAGATGCTGTGACCTTATACTTAAAATTCTGAAGACCTCACCAGAAAGACCTGATACAAAATCAATATATACATAAATTGGTTGTGTGTGTGTGTGCATGCTTGAGCTTGCTGAGAAGAAAATCATAAAAAAATTCTATTCACAATAACTTCAAAAAAGTAAACAGGAAGAAATCTAACCAAAAAGGTAGTGATTTGAAAGAAAAATATCTCCCATAGGCTGGTGTGTTTGAACACTTGGTCCCTAGCTGGCAATGTTTGGAGATGCTGTGAACTTTGATGGAGGAAATATGTCATTGGGGCAGATTTTGAGAATTTATAGCTTTTCCTCATGTCCATGCATTCCTTCTGTTTCTATGCGTGTTCTCCCAGCTTCCTGATCTGCTGCAGGTTACCACACTGTAATGGACTCTAGCCATCTGGAACAATGAACTACAACACACTTCCTTTATCACTTTGTCTTCAGTCATGATCATTTTATCACAAGAGAAAAGTCACTAATGCAGAGGGAAAGACCTCTACAATTAAAACTGAAGAAGAAAGTAAAGAAGATCCTGGAACATGGAAAACTTTCCATGGTCATGGATCAGCAGAAGTGATACTGTGGAAATGGTGATTTCCCCAAAAGTTATCTACAGATTCAACACAATCTACACCAAAATTCCAATGGCATTCTTTAAAGAACTAGACAAAAACAACCCTGAAATTTATACGAAAGCACAAAGGACCCAGAATAGCCAAAGCAGACTTTGTTTGTTTGAGACAGAGTCTCCTTATGTAGCCTTGGCTAGACTGCAGCTCACTATGTAGATCAGGCTGGCCTCTGCCTCCTGAGTGCTTGGATTAAAGTTGTACAGCACCACACCCAGCATCCAAAGCAACCTTAATTAGAAAGAGCAATACTAGAAATATCACAATACTAAATTATACTATATAGCCATAATAACAAAAACAGAAAGACACTGACATGAAAACAGACCTACAAGAGAGGAGTCAGACAGAAACCCACATAGCTATCGCACAGATGACCAAAAACATACATTATAACAAAAGGTGTTCCCTTCAGCATAACTGTTGGAAAAACTGAAGATCCAACTGTAAAATGAATTTAGACGTGTCTCTCACCCCGCACAAAAATAATTTACATGGAATAAAGACTTGAAACTGACAGTTTTAGAGGAAACCATAGGCAATACTTCAAGATATAGCCCAGGATTTTAAAATCAGGATTCCAACAGCATAGGTTTTTCAAGACAGGGTTTCTCTGTGTAGCCCTGGCTGTCCTGGAACTCACTCTGTAGACCAGGCTGGCCTTGAACTCAGAAATCCGCCAGTCTCTGCCTCCCAAGTGCTGGGATTAAAGGTGTGCACTACCACCACCCGTCGAAAAGCTTCTTAACATCAAAGAGAAAACATCAGCGACAGAAAGGGAGAATGAGAATAAAATCTTTGTCAATTATATTCAGATAGGGGACTAATAGGTATAAAGAACTACAAAATTTAAACATGAAAAGGATGGGAGGAGCTGGGTGCTGGTGGCACACGCCTTTAATCCCAGCACTTGGGAGGCAGAGACAGGCGGATTTCTAAGTTCAAGGTCAGCCTGGTCTACAGTCAAAGCTCTGTCTTGAAAATACAAAACAAAACAAAAATTAAAAAGAAAAAGAAAGGAAAGGGATGTAGCTCAGAGTGCTTGCCTAGTATGCCCAAAGCATGTTAAAATTGAATGCGGTGGCACTTTAATACCAGCACTTAGAAGAAGAGAATCAGAAATCCAAGGCTATCATTGGGCTACAAAGCAAGTTCAAGGCTAGCTTGGGCTACATGAGACTGTCTCAATAACAACAGCAGCAGCAACAACAAACAAACGAACAAACAAACCACATTATCAAAAAGCTGAAATCATAAATCAATAGATAGGGCAATAGATTAAACCTATTTATAGGAAGAAATTCAAATGTCAAAAAGCAAAACAAAAGCAAACACTCCAAATTAAAACTGCCTTGAGAGTCTGTGTCACCCCAATCAGAATGGCTATCATCAAGAAAACAAATTAAATTTACAAGTTCAAGGTCAGCCTGATCTTATTCAATTCCAGGCCAGTCAAGGCTACATGGTGAGGATCCTGCCTAAAAAAGAAAATAAATGGCAACAGAGGTGGAGAACATCAGAACAAAGCCCTCTACACAGTAGAAGGAAATGTAAACTGGTATGACCACTACAGAAGCCAGTGTAGAGGTCTCTCAGTGAACTAGGAAGATAACTACTCCATAACTGCTGCACTGTTTGAGAATGCCCAAAGGATTCTAAGTCCACATGATACAGAGATACATTCATACCTATGCTTACAACAGCACTGTTCATATCAGTTAAAAAGTGGGACCTGTCTAGACGTCCATTAACTGGTAAGTGGATAAAGAAGTACATAAATGCAATGGAATTTTTTGAGTTTTTTCTTTACATAGGTGTTTTGCTTGCATGTATGTTTGTGTTCCACATAGAAGCCAGAAGAGGGTGTCAGATCTCTGGGTGTCAGAGTTTACATAGTCAGTTGTGATCTGCCATGTGGGCTCTAGGAACTGAACTCAGTTCTGCAAGAGGTACTAGTGCCTGTAACTGCTGAGCCATCTCTCAAGCCCCCATATAATAGAACCTTACTAAGCTATACAGAAAACTGAAATTGTGACATTTGCAGAAAAATAGATACAACTCTAGATCATTATGTTAAACAGAAAAATGTAGGCAAATACCATATTTTCATTATGTAGAATCTAGATTTAAATTAATGTTTCTATATACAGACCATAAGAAGAGAGCTTACAGAAGGGGAACAAAGAAAAGATGATGGAATACATATGACATGAAAGTAGAGGGGTGTTTCAGGGAAGGAGGTCAGCAAGAAGGAAGCGGGAAGGGCATGGGTAGGAGGGTAAGGAGGGAGGGCGGATGGAAGGAAATAATGTACAATGATGTACATGCAGGAAAACGTCATCACGAAACCCCTTAATTTGTATGATTATTTTTAAAAAGTAATTAAGAATTGAAAATTACCAAATGCATCATAAAACAATGTCTGAGGAAAACAAACAAAAAAAGGAATATGCTTACTTGATGGTGTACACGGTTTAAAGGCTGTGTGGGGAGCAGCAGAGGGATTACTCACAATCCTTCTTTGTCCCCAAAAGGGCCCATCATCATGAAATAATCAATTCAGAGAACAGTAGGGAGAACTGGATTTTTTTTTCCTTTTTAAAGTAGCGTATGCTTTTATCTTGGTGTGTGTGTGTGTGTGTGTGTGTGTGTGTGTGTGTGTGTGTGTCTTTATGTAGCCCTAGCTGGCCTAGAATCTAGCCCAAGCTGCCTTGGAACTCACAGAGATCTGTCTCCTAGGCATTAGAATTAGTCATGTACCACTCTGCCAATTGCTTTCATCTTTTGATTTGGCTAACAATGAACCAAGAGGTTCAACCAAGAGAAAGGTTGCTTGGAAGGACACAGGCTAATAGTTCAATACTGGTGGGGCCAGTCTAGTTCATCTCTCAGCTGTGGACAAGTAAGCCTCACAGAGCTATCACACAGCCTGGCAGTTAGGCTACTTTTAAACCCAGTGACATGCACTGCTAACTCATGGTTTCCTTTGCTTGTGAGTTTGTTAATGTGGTAGCTTCATTAACTTAGTTCTCAGTGTAATTAAAAATTATGTCTATACATTTAAGATAACTAGTGGGTAAAAAGGTTTTGTCAATATGCCTGATGACCTGAGTTCTATCCCCAGGACCCATAGGATAGGAAGAGAGAACTAATTCCCTTTGGATGAAAACACACAGAAAGAAAATAAATAGTAAAAACAAAAAACTATTTTGGGGCTGGAGAGATGGTTTGGTGGTTATGAGCACTGACTGCTCTTCTAGAGGATCTGGGTTTGAACCTCAGCACCCAATGGAAACTCACAACCCTTTTTAAGTCTAGTTCTAAGGAATCCAATACCCTTTTCTGGCCACTGTGTGCACTGAACACAAAAGGTGCAGACATACATATAGGCAAAACACCCATAAACACAAAATAAATAAATATATAAATATAAAAAAGAACAGATCATACTACTCTTACATCATTGTTTGTAGATCTAAATGATGGTGTGTGTTTTAGTTGCTTTAGGAATGGGGGAAGTTAGTCCCTGATAAAATGTACATTAGGACCACACAAATTTGCAAATCACTTAAATCAATTAGCCCCAATAACTCAAAGGTAAGCAATACAGTAAATGTTACTTATTATCTTTACATACAAACAAGAATACATATGCTACCTGTAACAATATAGAAAAGCTTGTAAAAATCCTATTTGTCATTTTCTATGGCTGTAATTGTACAGAAGCAAAAAATATTGAACTGTCTAGAAATAGTTCTAAGTAGTTAACAGTGAATTTTATTTTCAAATTTTGACCGAGGACAAAGGAAATAAAGCAGATAAAAAATACCCAAGTCAGAAGAGTCGCATGGAAACAGAAAACACAGACTGTATTGATTCATTTTAGTTGGTCCATCCTATTTACACACTTAAAATACAAAATGCTTTTCAATCTGTCAAGAAGCTGATGGCATTTAGCACCAAAAAGGAACTCTAGTTCAGCTTCTGATCAAGATTTCAACATCCTGAGCAGGAACAGAAACTCCATGACATCCAGATGTACCACTGCCACTCCTGTGTTGCCAACCGGAAGGAATTGAACCTCAGAGCTACTTGATGCTGCGGACTACTCTCCTGCAATAGTTTGTTTTCATTTCCTCTAACGCTTGCTCCAGCTGCTGAACCAAATGAAGCAGGGTAGCTGGGTCTGTCTGCAAAAAATGGGTGCTGTGGTCGCCGTTCTGATCGAGACGCAGCTTTATCGTCACTGCTGGTTTAATCTGTTGCCGGAGACTTCTGCTTGCCAGCTTAGAAACACAAAAAGGGCACAGGAACTAATAATTATGTTGTGTAGATGACATTTAAGATAAACTATACCATGTAAAGAATCAAATTTTAGATGAATTATAAATGTCAAAATGAAAAGTAAACTTTAGGGCTGGAGAGATGGCTCAGTGGTTAAGAGCGCTGACTGCACTTCCAGAGGTCCTGAGTTCAAATCCCAGCAACCACATGGTGGCTCACAACCATCTGTAATGAGATCTGATGCCCTCTTCTGGTGCTTCTGGTGTGTCTGAAGACAGCTACAGTGTATTCATATATAATAAATAAATAAATCTTAAAAAAGAAAAGAAAGAAAAAAAAAAAAGAAAAGTAAACTTTAAAACAGTTGGAAAGAAAAATAAGGTTGTAAATGAAACCATATGGTATGGAAAGATTCCTTAGACGGGATAAAAAGGCACACATGACAAGTTCAAGGTCAGCCTGGTCTACATAGCAAGCTCTAGACTAGCCAATGCTACACAGTGGGACCTTGTCTCAAAGAGCCAAATATAATGAATACATTTATTCAATTAAATAAAAAATAAAGCAGAGGTTGGCTTTTTTTTTTCCTGTAAGTAGCCAGATAACAAGTATTTTAGGCTGTTCATATCATGTAGTTTCTGGTACAATGACTCAATTCTGTCTTTGTATTTTAAGAGCAGCCACTATACGTAAACAAACATGGCTATACCCACTAAAACTTTACAGAGAAAAGAAGCAAGTCAGATGTGGCCAGTATGCTGAGTTCTAATTCAAACTGCAATTTAACGGAGGCAGCGGTGGTATATGCCTTTAAACTCAACACTCAAGAGGCAGAAGCAGGTGGATCTCTGAGTTCAATGTCTGCCTGGTCTACACAGTTTCATGACAGTCAGGACTACACAGAGAAACTCTGTCCCCAAAAACAAAATGAATGAATGAATCAAAAAATAAACTGTAATTTAAAAAGGTAAGAAAAAGAGTAAAAAAGATACTAGTAAGACAAAAAAGGTATAGCATATAGAAAGGGGAAATGATTGTAAAGGCTTATATTGTTTATACTTCTAAATTCCCACTTTTGTTCTGATTCATCCAAGGATACCAAATTAATTTTCTTAAACAACTGCTTCAATGTCTCATGTTCATCAAAGAATTTACAAGAGCTTCCTATTGTCTGCTATATGACATCTAAACTCTTACCAAATGTTTGTAACCCTTTTTGGCTTCCTTATTTCAAGTTACAAAGACTCTTCTGTGATAATGGTTCACAAACTTTGATTCCTATTAGCAATATATGGATGAAACCGGGTTTTAAAATTTTTGTTGTCCAGGCCGAATTTTATATTAGTATCATCAGAATGAGGTGGGGCACTAACATCAGATTATTTAAGTCAGAGAACCAGTACATTGTTAAACACTCTATCTCTGATTTCAATCCCTGAATTCCTATGAGCCTTTAAAACCTAGGTTCTCTCTTCTTTCAAAAATATAGATCCTTGTTTTCTATTTCAATTTTTCTTCAGAAATGTATGTTTTGTTAAAATAATTATTTCAGTTTATGTGAGAACACATGGAACACAAACTATAAACCTTCTGAAACACTCAGTTGCTATTTTATTAATGCGACTATATTTCTTCACCTTTAGAAGTTTGTTTTACTACTATCTTAAACTACTAGCTATTTTACTAACCCTAACCAGACAATAGATAATGTCTTTCTAAAGTTGAAAAAGTATCTTATACTTGTTACCCAGACTGGTCTCATACTCCTGGGCTAGTGGGCCCACTGCTTCAGCCTCTCAAGTAACTGAGACTGGGGGTATGTACTAGGCCTGGATCTTGGATTTATCAGTCTTTCAAAATAGCTAAATGACCAATCTTTTCAAAAACAGTGTTTTACAAAAGAAGCCAGACACCAAAGATTTTTTTGTGTTCTGTGTAAGATTTTGATGCTAGAGATTGAAGCCTGGACCTCACATACACCAGGAGAATGCTCTACCTTAGAACTAGACCCCAAGCCCTACAGATGAGGGTTGCCTCAATCACTGCATGTGTACACAGCTAAACTGGGTTAAAAAATAGTAAAAGTGTGTTAAATACTTAGGGTGTAGGTTACCTTTGGAAAGGAGGGAAGAAACCATCACTAGTAAGAGGTAAAAAAAAGATGTTTCTGGGGTCCTGGTCATGGTCACATCTGTTTTGAATATGTGACTATGTGATACTTACTTTTTCTTTAACTAAGCATTGCCAAAAAAACAGACAAACAAGTCCATCCGTTTTCTAAATGATTTCTTAAACATTTTTCAAATTAGGATCTTTGGGATGATGGTTCACGGGGTAAGGCTCTTGCTGCTATGCCAGACTACCTGAGTTCAATATCTCACGACAAACTTCTCAAGGTTGTACTCTGACCTCTACGCAAGTGCCATTCATGTAATACATACATTAAGTAAATACATGCGATAAAAACAAATTAAAAACCTTTGCAAATTAAACTCAGTAAATCATATTACAAATAAAAGAAAATGAGCTATTTGTGAAATGACCCAAAAATGACCATTAAAATTACATTTTTGTTTTCACACCAGAGCTTGGTTAAGTTGGTAACTAACAGAGCATATAAATAATTCTTACACTCTATGTCGGATTTAAAAATAGACAAAGCCGTACCTGTACATCTAGCCGCCACTCAAGACTATGGTAACTGGGAAAACGAGGTGCTAACTCATTCAGAATAGTTCTGACCTCCTTTCTGTTGTCCAGGTAGAGCTGAAGCAATAGTTTGTTCAGTTCTTCAGAGAATCCCAGAACAAAAACAGAGTCTTGAAAATCCAGTTCAGAAATCTAAAGATGAATTGAGTTCAACAGAACACTGGAATTTATCTTTGTTTAGTAAATGCTAAACCATTTCTACACACAAAAAGTACATTATATCCTTTAATTCTGTCTAGAACACTCTTTAGTTAAAGACAATCATTGCCCACCATTCTGAAATCCAAATTACTAATACACAAAATAACCTTATTAAAATATGAAAAATTAAGATGCCTAATTTTACTTACTATTTTTCCATCAAGCCAGATACTGACTGTTGATTCATTAAAAAAAAAAAATGCAGTATTTCATTCTCCGTTCTCCTAGGATACACAGGTGATGGCATACGATACAGAAATAGAGACAATTATAATTTAAACTAGCTAAAGGTATTCATATTAGATAATGCCAATAACACCGTTTAGGAGTGCTGCACAAATTCGATTATGAGTTAGTAATAATTGTAATAGGTGTTGGTTTGAAGGGATCTGGGTAACAGAACACAGTTCTCAGAAGCCTTACCATGAGTTTTGAGCTCTCGGTGAGGAGATATGTTAATCCTTCCACACCATGCTGGATAGTGTCACTACTCACATTGAGTTTTCCTAAGGGGTGGGGGATGAACAGATTATCAATTTGTTTAAAAATAAACACGTTCAATTACTGTTTTCAAACAGTACAATGAAAATGGGTCAAGTGGAGACTACTGTTCCTTCTCAACCCACTCCACTAACAGAGGCCTTCGATATTTCCCTCCAAGCAAGCATAACAAAACACAAACCTATGAACAGACACATAAAGCCCCTTCAAGCCAGGCATTAGAAGATCAACAGAGAGATGTTCTTAATCTCGCCCCCACCCTCCTCCAGCTTAGCAAAAGCAGTCTCTGGGCAGCGAATGTTTACTAAACACTACAATGACAGTTCCACTTCTTCAGCATGCAGTATTTTATTAAGCACCATAGTATTTCTGAAAGTCAGATGGTATTGCATTCATTTTAAATATGAAGATATTTGTTTTATACTAGCTTTAAAATCACGCAGCTACTTGCAGAGTTTGAGCCTTGACTGACTCCTCTGCGGGTTTTTAAACGGCTGCAATGGGAACAAGACCTAGGACTTGCAAAGGCTCCTGCGGAGAAAAAGAACGGATAGCACTTTCTAGCTGAACAGACAGAGCCTCACAGAGCCAGTCCTCTCCCTTTCTTACTGGCGGCGCCTTCGTAGATCTTTGGGTTTGATCCCCGTCTGAGGAACTCCACGGCGATCCTCCCGAACTCGGCGACCACTGCAAAGGAAGTCAGTAAATCGTGAGTGCCAGCCTGTCCCCCGGACTGTCCTCGCTGCAAGCACCCCGCACTCCCATACCCGTGCTGTCCACTTGCGGCAGGAAGGCCAAGTGCTCCTTGTGCTCCTCGGACAAATCCAGCAGCATCTTAGCAGGTCTTCTGACTTTGCCACTCGGCACCGGCCCCGCCCTCAGCACTTCCGACCTCTGTGCAGGCGAAAAGAAGCTCCGGCGACGTCACAGTACTTCCTATGCTTTGGGTTCCGGTTTCTGGCCGTCCTACGAGAGTTCACGCTATAGGAGTGAAGGGAAGTGGCGAACGCAAGGAGTGAGGAATTGGATACCTGCCTATTTAGAATCTTCAGTGCTGGCTACTGCCCAAGACTAAGGAATCTTGATTTTTTTATACTTATAAAAGAGCTATCTATAATCCTTGTAGCACCAAGAGTCCTGGTACTGTACAAGGGTCCTGACCTATACAAGAGCCATGGACTTTGTAGAAGTAAAGATTCTACTACCTAATGTTAGATTTCTGAAGCAGCACAACGTTAAATTTCTGAGGCATCTTAAAGAGGCAGAAAACAGACCAGTCTGACATCAACAGATGGAACTCTTTACTTCAAACAGTTGAGGGCAGGAACAGGATGAAGGTAGTGTCTTCAAAAAGAAAAGGGCGATGCTTGGGTCTTATATAGGCAGTTTGGGAATACAGCTACTCAGGCTACATGCAAGCCTGTAGGTTTAACCTCCTGGATTGCTCATCCAGACAGGCCTGTTTATCTTTAGAAACTGCCTTGCCTGGATATCAGGATGCAAGGGCAGAGTGGGCAAATGAGTTTGGCAATGGCAGTGAGGGGGGGAAGAACTGGAGAGGTTTGTTTTGTGGTTTTCTGAGACAGGGTTTCTCTGTATAGTCTTTGCTGTCCTGGAACTTCTTCTGTAGAAAGGCTGGCCTTGAACTCAGAGGTCTTCCTGCCTTTACCTCCTGAGTGTTGGGATTAAAGCCATGCACCACCATGCTTGACAAGGGGTTGGAGTCTAAACATAGTAACAGGGGATTTCAGCAAGCTAAGGAAAGAAAAGTTCCTTAGTCAGAGTCTGACAGTGTTTGTTCAAGGTCTATTCCTAAGGCCCGCCCAGGCATCATACCACTTGCAGGGTTAAGAGTCTTACTACCAGAAACCCGCACAAGAGATGAAACAGTAGAGGCTACCACACCATACTGGCTCTATCTGCTGCTGCTGTCTGCTGTCAAGGGTTCTAAAAAACCGCCAGAGGCTCACACTGGAAGAATTTCTTTCCTCCCTGTGATTCTGAGGAGGGCAGAAGGCCTCTGGCCAGCTGCTTGGAAACATTTGAACTTGTTTGTTAGGCCTTGAAGCAAGCATTAGGGAAGGATGTCAAGCGAGAGCTCTTTTCTGTTGTGGAAGGCACCCAAAAAATTCTTAGACAATTTCTTTCAATGGCAATTTTGTACTCACCTTATTATCAAATAATTCTGTTCCTAGGCATTTACCCCCCCACCAAATGAAAGCAGATATCCAGAAAACACTTTTGACTATACTGTCCATAAATGCTTTATTCATAATATCTCAGAAAGTCGAAATTTCTATGCATGTCAATAGATAATATGATACATCCACAAACAGAATCCTAACGATTAAGGAAGTAATAAAAAAATTCTAGTACTGGGTGGAATGTAGCAGCTCACACCTATAGTTCCTAGCACTTGAGAGGCTGAGGCAAGAGTATTGCCACAGCTTTTAGAATAATTTGGACTACAAAATTAGTTCTAGGCCAGCCAAGACTACATATTAAATCATGTCTCATAAAAACAAACAAAACCCTAACAAAAAGTGCCATTGATAAATGCAGCAATGTAACTTAATCACAAACCATCAGATCTCAAGGGAACAATAGTGTTTCAAGTGTTTCGAAAATCCTCTATCTAGAAACTAATGTCCAAATAGCTTGTCCTTCAAGGTTGAAGCTTATTCAACAGCTTAACCAGCTTTGTAGGGGTAACTCAGCTGTTCTACATGTTGACTATAGTGTTCTTTACACAGATACATGCTAGTTAGATCCACTACCCATTACATGTAACATTCTTGTGGTCCATTGTATGTAAGCTTTACTTCAGTTTGAAAAAAATAATAGCAAGAGATACTCCAGCAGAAGTTAAAATGTCTAAACCTAGGGCTTTTGGTAACACTCTCAGGGACTTTGCTATATAGATTTTTATTTAAAAGTTATCTTATTACTTCTTTATTTATATTCTTTTAAACTCCAGAGAATTACTATCTTCAGACACACCAGAGAGGGCATCAGATTCCATTTCAAGTGGTTGTGAGCCACTATGTGGTTGCTGGGAATGGAACTCAGGATGTCTGGAAGAGCAGTCAGTGCTCTTAACCACTAAACCATCTCTCCAGCCCCCTAAATTCTTAATCTTATATCCTCCTTAGTTTCCTAACACCATGGGCAACTTCTGGTGTCAGCTTTTGTTTGTTTTCCTATGAGTTCTTTCTGAGACTCTAATGGTGGGGCAGGGCACACTCTTAAATTTTGACATCAGAACAGACAGTACTGTCTTTTCTGAGTTTAAATGCCATCTGGATGTCTGTATCCCTGATGGTTAACCTTGGATGTCCACTTGACTGTATCTGGAATTCACTAAGAGATAAGTCTCCAATAGCTTACTTGTGAGGGGTTATCTAGACAAAAGTTAGCCCCTGAGGATGTGTGGGAGGGGGTTTTCTTTTCTTTCTTTCTTTTTTTTTAAAAAAAATTAAATTGTAATTTTTACTTATTCACACAGGGGTTATAAAAGGGGATGACACCGGAGCGTGGGTGTTCAGGGGGAATACAGATATCATTCAGAACAGGGTATCGGCTGGGTGAAGGTTCAGGGGACAGGTCACTATGACTCTGCCTATGATTCACTTGTCCTTATCTAAGTTGGTATTATCTGCCAAGGCTACCTATTTACAAGGTCTATGACTACTAAGGCTGGTAAATTTCCACAAAAGCTGCCTGTTGACATTAGCTTATAGCCATCTGTTTCAATGTTTTTCCACTGAGACTCAAGACTTGGTGTTAGTATACATGTATGACAGGCCTATTGCTGATTTTAGGCCTATGGCTGATTTTAAGCCTTCAGTGTATAATAAGCAGGGCTGCCCCTGAAGGGAGGGGTTTTCTTGATTGGGTTATTTAAAAGTGAGTAGGTCCTGGGCTGGAGTGATGGCTCAGAGGTTAAGAACACTGGCTGCTTGCTCTTCCAGAGATCCTGAGTTCAAGTCCCAGCAACCACATGGTGGCTCACAACCATCTGTAATGGGATCTGATGCCCTCTTCTGGTGTGTCTGAAGAGAGCAAATGAAATAAATAAATCTTTTTTTAAAAAGTGAGTAGGTCCACCTTAAATGGCATCTACTGGCAGCTCTCTTAATCGCTGTTCTATTGCTGTGAAGAGACACCATGAGCAAGGCAACTCATAGGAATGGAAGCATTTAGTTGGGAGCTAGCTTACAGTTCCAGAGGTTGAATCCGTTATCATCCTGGTGCGGAGCATGCCAGGTGCAGTAGCTGACAGCTGTGTTCTGATGCATAGGCTGAGAGAGACTGGGCCTGGCACGGGCATTTGAAACTTCAAAGCTCACCTCCAGTGACACACATCCTCAACAAGCACAACAACAAACCCTAAGCATTCAAATATATGAGCCCCATTCTTTTTCAAATCACCATAGCAGCCACAGGTAAGGAGGTCCCAGGGGGATCCTTTGCTTCTTGTCTGCTTGCCCTTGTGGCCCGATTTCCCCTGTTGTTGTTGTTGTTGTTGTTGTTGTTGTTGTTGCTGCTGCTGCTGCATTCCTTTCCTAATAGAAACATCCATCTTCTTTTGGCTGCTGATGTGGAGGGAAGATCAAGAATCCTTCACACCTTTGGCAGAAGTTTGGAATTGTGGAATCATCTAGCCTCCTGGGTTGAGCAGGCACCTGGTTCTTCAGTGTGATGGCACCTGTTGTTGGACTATCCAAACTACGCCATATAAGCCAATCCAACAAACCCTTTTATATGCATACTCATTCTATAGGTTCTGCTCTCTAGAGAGTTTTGAATAATACAGTGTTCAGGAAAGCTCGCTGTTATACATTGCCCCTCAGGTTGAAGTTGTGTAGCGTTAGAATCATTGTTAGATGTGTCGCCATCAGAATTGGAGCTCTGTTTGGCTATATCTCTATTCAAACCAGGGCTGCTGTGATGTTTCAAAGCACAATTTTTGGATAGTTTTCACACTTTGCTGTACCTCCTTTGATAGTCAGGTTAGAAATGCTCCTTTTGGCCAGGACTCTTGCTATTTCTAACTGCTGAAGCCATCGCTTCTCTTTAAAGGCACTACAAAAACAAAACAAAGCAAAACAATACAAACAAAAAATACAAAGACACAAATCACAAGGAGGCTCAATCTCTTTCCTGTAAGTGGCTGAATGGAAATCGTGAAGGTAATTTCACTACTGTTTAATTCTCTTGTTACATAGGTGGGAGGGGAAATAGAAACAGCAGTCTTTCTAAAGCTAATTCCTTACGATGAGGGAGGAAGGACAGTTCTCCCAGTTAGTGCTAGAAGCTCAGAGCCCTCCTAGAAATTGAAAACTACACAAAGTCATGTAGAATTTTCTGGGTTGTAATGTTTTCTATCTGTTCTCGCTAGGCAACTCTTTGTAATACATCCTCGCTCATCGTTTTCTCTTTCTCACACCAGGAGGATTCTTATATTTAAAAACAAGATTGGTTTTACAGTCTTTAACTGAAATGTTAGGGAAATAATTCTTTACTATACTTGCTCCAGGTCTATATTAAGAAAGACTTGTAAATGTTTATACAATGGCTCCTTCTTTGTATGGTTGAAATGAGATTCATTGAAGAAGGATCTTATAAACTATAGAGATGGCTGGGTGGTTAAAAGCACTGGCTACTCTTGCAGTGGACCCTGGCTCAGTTCCCAGCCCCACATGGCAGCTCACAGCCATTTCTAACTCCCATTCTAGAGGATCAGATGCCCTCTTCTGGCTCCAACAGGCACTGCATGTATATCACACATAGCTATCCAAACAGGCAAAATACCTATACATATAAAATAAAAATAAATATTTTTTTTTAAAAAAAGGATTTTACACCTTATTAAATGT